GTATTTTAGGATGGTTGGTCGATCTGGAATTTTAATACCGAAATTTAGTGTACAAATTTGGTCGACGGCGCACTTGCAGTTGCAATATAACTGAATTTTGAGTTATTGTGGGTCTTTATTTATAATAAGCTTATGTATGCAGTACGTATCTACTTTCTTATTAGAATTGAAGCAGAAAGTGTTATTCTCTTTATTAGCTCACACATTATATTTATATATTTTTACTTTCAAGGGTTTCAAAACAAATCCTGGGTTCCAAACTCTCGACGAAGGCCTTGAACCCAGATCTAGGGTTGGGAACTGGGTTTCGAACCCGTACACAGCCTTTACTAACGAAAAGAAAAATAACCGCGAAAGAAAATAACAGCGTAAAAAAAAAATAACTAGTAAAAGAAAAATAATAGAGACAGAAAAATAATCGAGAAAGAAAAATAATAGAGAAAGAAAAATAACAGTGTAAGAAAAATAACAGTGTAAGAAAAATAACAGCGAAAGGAAAATAACAACGAAAGAAAAATATTACTATAAGAAATTCTAGCCAACTAAAAAATTTTTTCGCAACATTATTATTATTATTTGTTATTGCTGAAATCGTTGAAATTCCTGCATCCACCATATACAATCGGCTCTCTCTAAGTGCATATTCTCTAAGTGCAGGCCATATTAAATTCTCTTTAATACAGTATACAGGTTTAGATTCAGTCCCAAGCAATATGAGATCATATCAGCAATATCAGATATTTCAGTTATCATTGCATATGTAAAATTATGATAGAGAGCTCATGACATAATCTAGAGCTTTAATTGCCGTAACCATAGTTACTCGAACCAAGTCTCTATTCTTGGATCATAGGCTAGGAAAATCTCCGTTTTGCTTTTTTTTACAAATAGAAAATTTTCTAGTCAATTACTTATGAGGATTTGGTGCAGTATCTGAAATTGGGTTGCGGAGCTTGCGGACCGCAAATGATTTATAAATTTCCGCAACTAAAATCCGAAATGTATATGCTGGTTCCGCAAATAAATTTGTGAATTTGCAAATAGAAATGTTCGAAATTGCATATAAATACATTCATATGCACAACTAAATCCATATAATCCGCAAGTAATTTAGTTGCAGCCCGCAACTAAATTAAAAATGAATTTCAGACACTGATTTGGTGTATTTGCAATAATACTGTATTCGATCATTATATCATGATAACTAGGTATCAAAAAAATTTTTTATTCTAGTGTAGTATTTGTGGTTCTACTAGTTAGCTATTGTTGTATAACTAATGATATTGTTCACGTGGATTCATGAATATTCATGGCATCGAGGTCACTGCCTAATCAATATATTACACTAATACTAATCAATATATTACACGTACCACTAATTAGGATCGTGACTGGTAAATTATATAATTTTAAATAATTTATTACGTAGATAAATACAGTATAACGATAAATTAATAATAAAAGTTTCGCTTTAAAAGTGTAATTAATTATACACGCTTTACATTCGAATTTGTGATGTTACAGTAAAAACAATAACATTATATATATTATTATATATCGATGTAACTTTTTTGCAAAGTGCATATTAATTAAAAGTTCAATCATATAAAAGTTTTTAAAGTTTCTCTCACATCATACCTTCTTTTTTTCAACTCATTATTTTATCCTTTTGACTCATAAGCTTTTCATACTCAAGCCTTTCTTGTTCTTAAATATTAATGGATTCACTTGCAATTAAAGTTTTCAAATTTTTAATAAAGGAGGTTTAATTAGAATGCTTGTCTTTGCTTCTAAATTCATTCGTTAGTATACTGTATATTCATTTACAAAAAATAATATACTATATAAACTGGTTTTTTTAACGGGTTCAGTAGTGGTAGTGATTAATCTCAATAAGTTTCTGTTGCATTCATTTTTTTTAATTTGTGTAACAAGGCTAATTTTATTAACATGTTCGTATATTAATTCACTGAGTCGGAATTTTAAAAATTGAAGTAGCAACTTTTAAACTCCTACTTATTTTCAAAATAAGTTAATCATGAAATCCCTATCAGTGTTGTCACGGGACAGCTCTGGACAAATTGTGAACAATTGTGGACAATTTTTGACAAAAAAACAAATCCAAATTACTCCAAAATTTATTAAGATAACCTATTTAATCATTTAAGTAAAAATATTCAGAACTACAAAAATATATAATCACATCTTTTTTAAATTATTTATTAAAATTTCAAACCTAAATATTCTTTGGACAATTGTGGACACTGAGGGGTTTCAGAATTAAAAAAAAATAGCGTATTTCGAAAATAAGTAGGAGCTTAAAAAATCTTATTTGTATATTAAAATTTTGAAATCGGAAAATGAAATGGGAGTGCTTAGAGACTCCCATTTAACGAAATAAATAAACTTTTCAACGACAAAAATCATTATTACAAATTTATCGGAAAATGAAATAAAATCAGTACATCGCTCATTTGAAAATAAATACGTTATCTATTGCTGTCAAAATTAGATTTCCGCACGTTAATTCTGAAACCCCTCACTGTGGGGATCCCTAATTTCTCCCCCAGTTCTGATTGGACATTTGCAAATGCTATCTCTGATTGGACAAAGTAGACTACGCCACACTTCGTCTACAAATCAAATTTAAGATCAGGTGTAACAAAATTTTAAAAAAAAAATCGAAGTTTTTCAAAAATCGGCAGTAACTTAAAATTTTAATTACAAAACTGCCTTTCGTGTTCTAACAAAAAAAATTCCTTGCAAAATTTAGTATAGAATATGTTTTATTAGACCTTTATACTGCTTCAACGATACTTTTATTATTTGATCGAAAGGCAGGATTTTTCTTCGTCCAATAGGAAGTGGGGGAGAAATTAGTAAACCCCTCACTGTGGACGTTTGGACAAAAAAAGTATTGGACATAGTAGACGTAACAACACCGTCCCCCCTATTATTACAAATTATTGGAAATGAAATAAAGTTTATACGTCATTCATTAGAAAATGAACACTATTTATTTCTGTTGACATTTGAAACCCTACTTATTAACGTTAATTGCGGCACAATTGTTAGCCTTAGGCCAAATTCAGGTAGAAATTCCGAATACGTTCTTTCTACGGCATTCGTACGTACGTACCTGTTTTTAAATAAGCATCGTACACCCCACATACCAGACTGATCAGGTTACTGATATTAATATTATCTGATACAAAGTCGATCCACTATGCATACCGGGTTTTGAGAGTAGATTGTATATATTAATATTAATATAGGATAAATTTTTACTATGCATGCATATGACTTTCATAAGTATCCGATCAAAAGGCCGATTACAATTGTGATTTAGTACATAAAAGATTATATAATTTTATATTCCAATTGATAGTTCTATTATTTTTCAATATGCCAAAGATTAGCAATAATCAATTCATAAAAGTTTTATAAATTTATTTGATATGCTTAATTTCTGCCAGTGTATACTAGATTGCTTCTAATAAATTGGCAAAACACTTGATTCCAAATGTTTATATTAAAGTTAAGCTTCTAAAAAATAGTCTAATAAGCTTTGATTATGAAATTTCAATATGTTAATTTGAATAAAAATTTCTATTTAAAAAATAATATAAAAACTTTAATATAGTCTGACTTCTCTAAGTGCACGCCCTTGGAATCACACTTTAATGTGCATTTAGAGAATAATAAGAAAAGGTGCATTTATAGAGGTCAAGTACAGTGTTTGCCTATGATCTGTTATGACCTATTGGTCAATTATAGGTTATGACCTTATGACCTGTTATGACTTATAAAATTACTAATACGTTATGACCACCTTGGTCATGTAATGTTGGATATGACCTAAAATGGCCGACACTAGTCAAGCATATATTTGGACCAGAATTTGTGCGTGCATTTAGAGAGAGGGTGCACTTATAGAGGGCGCACTTATAGAGGATGCAATTATAGAGGGTACACTTAGAGGGGTCTGACTGTAACAATACTTTATCAATATGAATTAAATAGTTAGTCAAACCAAATTCCTATTATGCTTTATTTTCTCTTTTCTTATTATTCTTATTTTTACTTTTATTCTGTTAGATTTATTTATAAAAATATCAGTTTTCGGATTTTTTTTGAACAGAGTTTAGATTAGGATAAGGGAGAAAAAATCCCCAAGATTTCATTATATTTTGATTCTGTAGTATTATCTCTAATAGCATACTATAACTAGTAGTTTTGTAATATGATATCAAACTTCTCACTTCTCATTTTCTTTTTGGCTAATCGGAATTTGGCATTATTCGGTCCATCAATTTGTTAGTTATACTATAATAAACTGCTAGAAACAATGCTATAAAATCGAAATATAACAAGGAGTTATAAGATTCTAATTTTAGACAAGTTGATTGAATTTATTCACAAAAAAGTTTTTAAATTTTTAGATTTCTTGACCACAGTAATTTGAAAAGTACATTTTCGGAGGATTCCAAAGCGAACAAAAAAGGCATTTATTGCATCTTCATTTGGAGATGAGACATTGCATTAAAACGAATAGAAATTATTATTTATTAAATTTCAAAAGTAAACAATACTGTATAATTCCGTTGAAAGTAATAATATTTTTAATCAGCAACTTTTTGTAACAACTAGATTAGTTTATATCGATTGTATCGATTATATTGAATTTATTAAACCATCCTAAGTGATCAATCACACATACTGTACCAAAAATTGAATAATATGCCATTATCCTAAGCAAATTTCTATCAATAAAAAAATACTTTAAATTTGAAATAATGAAAAAAATAAAGGTTTATCTTTAAAATTCTAAACCGTTAAAGATCTAAGCATCCCTTTTTGTATGAAAACCTTTGTTTAAAAAAGTATTTATATCATTCTGTAATACTCAAGTCTTTCAATCCGCTATCTGTTAAATAATTATGATTAATATTGAAAAATAAAACAAGGAAATAGTTGCTATTTATTATAAAGTAATATAATTACCTTGGCAAAGATGCAGTGAATTTAATCAATTTACTGCCATAAATGTTATCAGGGTGTGTTTGTAGATTTGTGCTTTTAATAATTTCACTTTTATAAGTATCATCAGGATATGATTGTATATGTGTGTTATTAATATTTTTTAATATTTCATCTGACTTATTTAATTCTAATAAAATATTTTCATCATTTTGCCATTCTACAAGGACTTTACAAATTTCTATTGCTGATGGGCGGTTTATTGGATCTCTTTCCCAACATTTCTTCATTAGATTTACATAACATTGTGGTGTGTTCTCAATAACTACCGGTCTCAAATCATTATGACATATTTCTATTTGAAGTTGTATTTCAAATTCTTGATTATAAGATGCAGAATTTCCATACAAAATTTCCCACATAATTATTCCAAGCGAATAAATATCTGATGCTGTTGTATATTGTCTTTTGTCTAAAACTTCCGGTGCTATATATGGTAAAATTCCGTAAACTCCAAGGCGTTCTGACTTTAATGCTATGCACGTTGACATCGCAAGTCCTAAGTCTGCAATATATGCAGCATAGCGAACTTTATTGTGATTGGCTGATTTTTGTAGATCATCTGGTCATACTAAAGTATTATTAAAGTAACGATTTTCTGTCACGAGAGTCACAAAAATTGATTCGCAGCCACGAATACGAATTCGCAGAGGTTGTGATATAAAAATTTAGGAACTATACCTTCTTCGTTACAAGACATTAAAGTAATTTGGTAATCGGCGAGGTAATTCGGAAGTTAGATGAGTGCCACTTTTTGAATATTCTAAAACTTTCTATTTGGTTTGTAATCTATTTAAACTATGCGATTTAACTTTTTTTTTTTTTTCCTATACATATATATATATATAGTTTCCTCAAGACGTTGTTTGCGGTTTATAAACAATAGGTTAGATGATATGTTTATTCTTTTCTATGTTTTTACTGTTTTTACTTTTTTTTGATCTATTTTATTTTACTTTTTTTTTGATCTTTATTAATATATTTTTTTATTTCTCTACTTCTTTTCGCAGAATGATTTTAAATTCAATATTGAATAATAGTACAAAGTTTTAGTAGCATTTCCACGATAGATAACTTTGATAATTAGTAGTTATTGGTATTTAATATCGCGAATGATATTGAAATTTGTATCTATTATGTGCGATTTTTAAATTTTTTGAATACTTCTTTTTAGTTTTTTTTAAGGGTAACATTAGGATTTAGGTTAGTGTGATTAGCAAAAGAGTATAGTTAGATTTTGTTAGGGTCTATACTTTCAAATTGAGACCCTCAAATTTCAGTACTATTCGCGATATTTGATAAAAACGTATGGAAAGGCGAAAAGGGATTGTGTTTTATTTATAGAATAGATAAAAATTATTGATCTCACTATAATAAATTTGATATTTCTTCTTTACAGAAGATTATAAAGGTATTAAGGGCATGTTTTGTGTACATAATGATGTGTTTTAATATTTAAGTGATGCTTCAAAGATCAATATTAATATTACATATCCGTCGTTATACTACGATCATCAACGATTATCTCACAATTTGATTGGTCGATCAGCAAATAAAATCACAAGATGATCAACAAAATCTAGCCAATCACAATGAATGTTCGCTATGCTAATATATGCATTATGTAAGTGAAATTGTAAAATATTACCGCTATGCAAATCTCGATGAATAAGTTCTTGAGAATGAATTAGTTGAAGATCAGAAGCAATACAATGCAATAAAGTCAATTTATTTCTCCATTCCATTTGTGCCACAACGAGGATATAATCACCAGAAGTATCCTCTTTTGATATTCCAAAACACCTTAAAAATGATGGATTTTTACTGCCAATATCACAATATGCTTTTAACTTTGCATTAATAATTAGTTAAAGATAAATCATTAAAATTTTAAACACATTAGCACGTAAAACACTACCTCTTTCATAAACTCATCATTATAATCTTTTGAATTATGGAGCAACTTAAGCGCAACATTTTGGTGAAGGTTTTGGTACTTATTATGCCACATAGCATAATATACTGTCGCAAATCTGCCTTTCCCTTTAATTTCAATGTTTCCAAACTCATTATAAGGAACCCAAAATAATGGATCTTTACTTTCACTCAAAATTTTTTTCATATTATAATCAATATCTAAATTATCATATATTTGCTGAAAATCAAGTTATTATCGTTATATTCGACTCATTTGACAAATAAATGTAATCAATAAAAGCTAAATACTTGATATTTGTTTCCGTTCTCTGCAATTTATTTAATTACATTTATTAAAAAGAAATATACAATTTTATTATGACAGTATAAAAATAACTTACATCTGGTACCATTCATTAGCTTTTTGTAAGTCTCTTGTTACTCCAATCCCATTCCGATAACAATGTCCAGTATAATGTATTCCAGCAGCATTTCCCATATCAGCGGATTTTCGATAATAAATGAATGCCTTATGTTCATCCTTTTCAACTCCAATCCCATTATAATAACAATATCCAACATTATATGTTCCTCTAACGTGCCCCATCTCTGCAGATTTTTGATAATAAATGAATGCCTTATGTCCATCATTTTCAACTCCAATTCCAAATTGATAACAAAATCCAACTCCAAATATTCCATTAGCATCCCCCATCTCCGCAGATTTTTGATAATAAATGAATGCCTTATGTTCATCCTTTTCAACTCCAATTCCATCTTTATAACAGCTGCCAAGTGCAAATATTCCATTAGTATATCCCATCTCAGTAGATTTTTGATAATAAATGAATGCCTTATGATCATCCTTTTCAACTCCAATTCCATTACCATAACAATATCCAACATTATATGTTCCAATAGCGTGCCCCAACTCTGCAGATCTTTGAAAATAAGTGAATGCCTTATGTTCATCTTTTTCAACTCCAATTCCTTTCTCGTAACAATCTCCAAGATTGCACATTCCACTAGAATTACCCATCTCAGCAGATTTTTGATAATAAATGAATGCCTTATGTTCATCCTTTTTAACTCCAATTCCATTTTTATAACAATGCCCGACATTATATGTTCCAACAGCATACCCCATCTCAACAGATTTTTGATAATAAATGAATGCTTTATGTTCATCCTTTTCAACTCCAATTCCATTTTCATAACAATGTCCGACGATATATGTTCCAACAGCATGCCCCATCTCTGCAGATTTTTGAT